CAGTGGGAGGAACCTTCCCACATGCGCTCTGGGTGGCTCTGGGGTTAATCAAGTTTAATTGTTTCTCTTTGCAACAATCTTCACAAGAAGGCAAAACAGTTAAACGGCAGGTTACATATATTTCCATTTGACTGTTTATTTTGACAGATGAACTCAAGGATGTTGCTTGGTTTGAAAGAATTACCCCCACGCACACTGATGCACATGGATGAGCTGACATTTTAATCGTTAACGCACATCGCGGAGGTAAAAGATTCCCATCAGAACATCAGAGCTTTATACTGGACACTGTGTTCAGCGCGGCTCGGAGCGCCCACAGTGGACAGTGAGCTGAAGATCTGAGGGGTTCGCAGCGCAGCGCAGAACCATGGTGCATGCAATGATTTCCTCCCACTGAAGCGGTCTGGAAACCCGGTCTCTCTGAGGGATGTGTCACTTGGAAAAATGTTCTTTTTATGAAATTATGAAACTGGCTGAACAGCGCTTGTTCCCGTCTCTAATATGGAGACGCATGATGCGTAGAGACATTTGATCACGCACAAAGTTCGTGTGGAGCAGAAGCGGTCGGGCCACGGCAGGTGAAATGTTCCTAGCCTACATGAAGGGAAACTGTTTAATTGTAACATTAATACGTTACTGGACACGCTGGTCTGGTTGGTTAGACCAGTGTTTGAAGTGGAAAACACACACACACACACACACACACACACACCAATTAAAATATATGCTGATAGCATGGACTAGAAGACAGGTGATGGTTTACGTATTTAAATGATGATCAGGCTGCTGTAAAATGTAATCTCCATCCACATCCAGACAGAATCATCCTCTATTCTGTCTCTATTTGCTCTGCTCTTGTCTGGGCTGATCAGCTGATGGTGCGCCTAACTAGCGGCTGATGCACATTTTACGCATTTGGAGAGGTGGGCTGGATGCTGTGCGTTTACTGGAAGATGGTTAACGCACGGGTGTAGACTACATATTAATGACAAATGAATGAAAATTAAATTGTGAGTTTTTACTTCATATTTTATAAATAAAAATGACGGGGGAAAACATTTATGACGTCTTTTTAAACTAAATTTTCTAGCGCGACCTGCCTGCTTCACTTAAGTCACTGCTTATTAAGGTCCGTCCAGAAATACTGTGGGAAACGGGTAATAATGGCTCTTTGATGGGAATAGGTTGCCGACCCCTGGATAAGATCTGAGCTGGTAAAACAAAAATCCTCATCAGCAGGCGTTTTTGAAAGTGGGGGGGACACAGCTGCCAATCACAAATTTTGCCGGGGACATGTCCCCGGCGTCCCCGGTTAAAATGACGCCTATGATTGTATCAGATGTATAACTATGACATGTGTATAACTTATTGTTTTTTACTGGTAAAAACGTGTAGTGGAGATAAATCTACCTACATTTTACTTTGTTTTCTTGTTTTTATTTAACTATTTTCCTGTCCTGTCTGTCTCTCATCTTCCTGCATCTCCTCATAATTCTCCAGAAAATCTGTTGCCTGGATTCTTACTTTTTCACCTCATCAGTTACTTTTGAGCAGATCAAAGAGATCTCCTGACCGCAAAGCGGAGAGCGCGTTTTCGATGCTGCGTGAGGTGAAATCACCACAGCACAGGTGATGAGCTCCGCAGCAGAGCGCTTCAGGCACAAATAAGACAGAAAATAGAGAACATGTGCAGACAAGAACGATCGTGTGCTAATTATAGTTTTTTGGTTGCGCCACTTTGAGAATGCACCGTGCGCTGGAAGCAGCTGCCTGGATCTCTGTGCAACAATGCGGAACCGGTTCGCAGCAGCGCAAGTCTGCAGGCTCTCCCTCGCGCTGATCTGCGGCTCTCCCTCGGGCTGATCTGCGGCTCTCCCTCGCGCTGATCTGACTTGCTCTGGTCTGCGCGCAACGGTGGGCGGGAAGGGGGGGGGGGGGGGGGCGCATTTGGAAGAGTTGTGCGACACAACGAATCGATGACGCAATTCGTTGCCAACGCTTTTAGTAATCGATTTTCATCGAATTCATCGATTCGTTGTTGCAGCCCTAATCACTAGTTTTATAAAGTATAGCAATAGATTTAGACACTTGCCGTTTGATATATTCGATATGTGGTTTCCAACTGAGTTTACTATCAATAATCACACCGAGGAATTTAGTTGAATGTACTTGTTTAATTGGGACTCCATTTAAATACAGCTTAGCACCGTCATTGTCCCTGTTCCCTGAAAATATCATAAATTTGGTTTTATTTTCATTTAGTGATAGCTTGTTGTAATCAACCATTTTTTAATTGAACCCAATTCGTTTTCAACCTCTTGTAATAATTTACTCATATCTTTTCCCATACAAATGAAATTTGTATCATCTGCAAACATAATAAATTTTAACCGAGACGATACAGAAAAGATGTCGTTCAGGTATAGGTTGAATAATTTCGGTCCTAGCACCGAGCCTTGCGGTACACCACATATTACTCTTTCAAGCTGTGAATCTATATCATTAACATTTACATATTGAAATCTACTGCTTAAATAACTTTCAAGCCATTTATTGGTTTTACCACCAAGACCATAGTATTCACATTTCTTGAGCAGGTATGTGTGATCAATTGTATCAAATGCCTTACTCAAGTCAATTAAGACAGCCACTACATGAAGTTTTTGATCCACTGCTGTTGCAATCTGCTCTACCAAATCCATAACTGCTAATGAGGTTGAACAATTCTTCCTAAACCCATACTGATGGTCGTTTAAAAGATCAAACTTGTTGGTAAATGCTTCAAATCTAATTACAAAAAGTTTCTCAAGTATCTTTGAAAACTGTGGCAGTAAAGAGATAGGTCTATAGTTACAAGCTAATAATTTATCACCACTTTTATGAATAGGAATAACTCTGGCTATTTTCATTTGTTCAGGGACTGTGCCACTTGAAAAGGATTTATTACAAATATAAGTAAAAGGTTCAATAATGCAATGGATAACCTCCTTGATGAGAGACATATCTATCCCATGAAAATCTAAGGACTTTTTACTTTTGAAACTATGTACTGCTTGGATCACATCACTGTGGCTTACACTGCTCAAAAACATTGTATTATTATTTTTATTTATTTCATGGTTAATGTCAACTTCTGGCAGCTTTTTAGCTAGATTAGGGCCAACATTCACAAAATATTTATTAAACTCATTTGCAATGATCTTTCCATTTTTATTGTGAATATCTATACCTGCTTCTTTTGTGTTTCTTATTAATTTATTTAACACATTCCATGTACCCTTAATATTATTTTTGTGTTTTAGGAAAAGCTGATCATAATATTCCTTTTTTTGCTTCCTTATTATTGTAGTTAATTTGTTTTTATATTCCTTGTACCTTTTTTGTTTTTCCTTTGTTGGATTTTTTATAAAATCCAGATACAGTGATTTCTTTTTCTGGCAAGCCCTTTCCAATCCCCTAACAATCCAGGGTGGGGACCTTTTTTTTAAGTTTTGCTTATGATATTTTAGAGGACAATGTTTATCATAAGCTCCCAAAAATATTTCAAGAAATGCCTTATAAGAATTGTTAACATCATCAACATAAACATCAGTCCAATCAGAGCAAAACAGTTCATATTTCAGAGCTTGAATTGCAACAGGAATTTTTTTTTCTAGTTGTGGTATAATTTACATTTTCCAGAGATGTTTCATCACTTCTAATCATTTCCACCACAGTAAACACCGGTAAATGATCAGTAATATCAGTTAAAAAAAGGCCATTCTTTGTCTTGATGTCAGATTGATTTATGAATATATTGTCAATCAGTGTAATACTATCGGCTGTTATCCTGCTTGGTCTCAATATCAACGGAAAGAAACCTAAACTAAACATTGAATTAATAAATTCAGCTATTTTAGTATTATCATCTGATTTAAACACATCAATATTAAAATCACCACAAATTAAAGTCGTTTTGTTCCTACATTGCCCAAATAATGTTTCAATACGTTCATTAAACTGATCTATAGAAGAACCAGGACTACGATACTTACAACTTATAATGATGTTTCTGGATTTTTTACACTTAATTTCAATTGTCAGACACGCCATCAAATTCTCAACAATGAAGGTCATATTCGTTAATATCGTACAATCAAAACCAGTCCTAACAAAAAGTGCTACCCCACCCCCTCTTTTGTTTTTGTCCGCTCTGAGTAAACATTTCATAGCCATCCAGTTTATTCAATAACTCTTTTCCATCTTTGATCCAGGTTTCTGAAATTGCAACTACTGTAAATTTCTCCTTGAACTCATTTAGGTAATCTGAGATTTTAGATAAATTGTTGTAGAGACTAATAGAATACTAATAGAATAGCTATGGTCCTTAAAAAGGACACTAGAAGGGGCAGAAATCTGATGGAGGACTAAAGGTTACTGTTCTGGGTTGGACCCAAACAAGGCAATGCTAATGCTGGGTGGTAAAGAGACCTGAGCGCCTGTGATGTCTGAGACTGGTAGTCAGTTTTACAGCAGAACTAAGGAAATGATAAGGAAGGTAGAAGATCATGAATAGGGAGTAATGATCTGACGTCTGAGTGGTGAATAGACCTTCCTTACTTGGAACATCCCACTGTTACACCAAGAAGGGTACGGCTGCAGACCCACAGATTCACGCCTGCAGCAGCAACTCTGCCGGTCTCTGGGTCTGCAGCCTGATCACGTCTTCCCCGTTCCTCGCTGGCCGTGATGCGCTTGGATGTAAACACCTGCCCTTTTAGCTCCCAGTCAGCTGATGCCAGCTTCAGCACACCTCACTGGTGAATTCTAGTAACGCACATATTTTGTTATCAGTAATGGAAACAGAGTTATGATGAAAGAAGACTGTACTTACGGTAATTAGAAAACACGCAAGAGAAACAGCTAACTTCCATTAGTAATGCAGTTATTCTCATCACTGGCTCTCAGTGATTCCAAGTATTTAAACACATTCACTTTGTCTCTCTCACTCTGTTTATTAGGAGGCTGGTGGTGTGTGAGTGGTTTTGGAGAGATTGCTGGAACAATTGCCATAGAGATGCAGAATAACTCATACATCCATGCCCTGGATACTGGACTCTTCACACTCGGTGCACCACACAAAGGTAAGAGAATAGACTGGTGTCAGGATTAAGGAGTTACTTTAGAGGTACAGGTTGTCTTTTTCTTACCACAGTAAAACTTTATTATTGGTAATGTTTTTATTTAATGTGCTTGGAAATCATATTTGAACTTTAAAATATCTTTTTAAACTGTGCACCAATTTTTTGTGCCACTAATCCTGCCTATATATCATCTGTTGATTGATTTTTCTTTAAGTGTAAAATATTCTCAACATTTTATTTTTATTTAAATTAAAATTTTTGCATTTTTGCCTCATTTTATTGACAGAACTGGAATCGCAGTCAAGAAAATGTTTAAGATAAACTTTTTGGCAATCCTCCTTTTTAATCTAGTTTATGTTTGGATTTTTATTCTGGACTTATTTGGTAAATGGCCTGTATTTGATATAGCGCCTTCCAGAGTCCTTGAACCCCTCAAGGCGCTTTACAACACAATCAGTCATTCACCCATTCACACACACATTCACACACTGGTGGGGATGAGCTACAATGTAGCCACAGCTGCCCTGGGGCGCACTGACAGAGGCGAGGCTGTCAGACACAACGACAGCGACAGACTGAGCGGTGCTCGAACCTGCAACCTTCCGGTTTCGGGGCGAGCACTTAACTCCTGTGCCACCGTTGCCCCTATTATTTCCTGTACCCATTTACATATTCCTTGATCCGGAGTCAAATTATTTTTGCGACACATTTGAATTGCTCTCTGATAGATAAAAAAAAGTTTACAACTAAATTAGACAGAACCTCTGAGTGACAACACAAAAATAAACTTTTTAATTTCTAGGGGAAAGTGGTAAATTTATCTCATGGTTCCAGTGGCGGCTCCAGAAATGTTTTTCTGCAGGTGCTATGAAGGAGCTAGTCTTTTTATTGAGGGTGTTAAGAAGGAAGTGGTCATGCGTACCTATTGTTCTCTAAAACACCTTCAACACTAGCAGATACACATGCGTGCACAACACCTCAACAACACCTGAAACAATCATTAATATACATCATAAACATGTGAACAATCGCTGACTTTTCCATGAAATCATAAACACATACAGCTACACAGAAAACCATCTATAGTGTTGCAAGGTTAGCTAACGTTAACGTTAGCATTTCCAGCGGGAAAACCCTGGACTGCTGCGGCGGTTGAGGGTTGACTCTCTTCATCCAGATCCGTAGGTTTCTGTGGGTCTGAGATCACTTCCAAACATTCATTCGTTTCTGACTGAACCCGTGGAAATGTGACCAACAAAAACCGATCCATCTTACCGCTAGCTCTACCTTTCACTCGTTCACAGGTGGAAAATGAGGTCAAAGGTTAACATCAATTACCTGTTTTGGTTAAAATTTTTACTATCTATATGATAATTTACTGATTATTTTTGTTTTGTATGTTAAATATTATCACATCCGCACGTTAAATTAAAATGAAATTGTAAAAAAATAAATCAAATATTTACTTGGGGGCGCTATGGGGGTGCAATGACTAATCCAGGGGTAGCTATAGCCCCCCCCCCCCAGTGCAGCCACTGCATGGTTCCTAATTAGCTAGCCTAGAAATCAAGACAAACCGTCACAGTAGCAAAACATTTTGCAGGTTGGTCTAGCAACGCTTCACAGTAGCCTCAGCAGGTCTACCATTGGCTGGGCTATGGCAAATTACAGCTCTCTATGTTTGTAGAGAGATGTTGGGTAGGCTTAGCACCAGAGCTGCAATGGAGCAAAACTACAAAGATGGTGTCAGCTCAGGAAAAGCACTCGTTTAAAACGGCTTTATCAGCAGTTTTGGACGATTTAGACGTGGGCTTTTCTTTGAGACATGAGCAGATAGACATACTTAAGTCCTTTATCTTCTTCTTCTACGTGTTTGGCAGACTCCCCTGTTGGATGATTTCCATAGCGATGAATAAGTTTCATTGTTCTGATTGGTCTTAGAGCGGTCCTATTGCATGTGGACACAGTTTGAAAGACAACTGTAGATTTCAACTCACAACTGAGCTTTGTCTATGGGTCGTGACCACACTAGTATATCTACAAATTTAAGTTGGCTTGTCAGGCTAAATTATCTGAGAATGAGCTGTAAAAAAGCAGCTGCTGTGGGAGGTTAAGGGTGTTTCTCAATGTCAAGGCGCCTGGCCTTGCGAGGCGATATCTTGCGAGGCCAGGCGCCTTGCTTACGAGGACACTATCCGTCCTTGGTCAAAGAAAACATTTAAATGGAACAGACTTGCATCATGTGACCGCGGCTGCCACGGTGGTCATGGGCTTGAAGAAAACTTTACTGTTAAAGTTTAATTTTGAATGTTTTTTATGCTAATCTGGACCAAGATAAGTTCCCACGGATAAATAAGGGCACAGATAAATGAAGACTTACTCGGCTTTGCAGTCGCTGTGAGGATTTATCCGTTTTCTTTGGCCATCACCCACAGGTGATGTAAACAACGCTGTGACTCTGCTCGTCGGAGCTAACTGCTGCTATTAGCTTGACCACAGCTTTCTGTTCTCAGAAGAGATCGGTTCAACTTTCAAAATGTCTCCCTAGCAGATTTGGGGAAAAAAACTCTGATGCATGGGACCGACATTTTCGGTCATCCCAGAGCTCTTACGTGCTTTTAATAACTTTAATTTACTCTTCAATACAGATTACAAGCTTCTCTCTAAATCTCCTCGTCTTTAGACGTTAAAGTGTTTATATATCGGGGATTTTGTCCATAAATTCTCTTAAAAATGTATGTCACATATTGATAGCAGTTTGTATTTGCCACACAGCCACTCGCGCATGCGCACAAAGATGAAAAAGGATGTAAGCAAAGATCATTCTATAGAAATTAGTAATATTGCAAAGGCCACTGAGAAACGAAAAAGCCTCAGAACAACACTAGCCCGAGCTACTGCTAACGCTAGCCCGAGCTGCTGCTAATGCTAGTCTGAGCTACTGCTAATGCTAGCCTGAGCTACTGCTAACGTCTTTTTTGGATGAGAGGCAAACACAACAATGTTGAAACACCTGCATTCCAGGATGTACTGGGACACTTATTTCTCATTTGCTGGCAAACGCCCCACAATCCGCTGGACTGTCACTTTACGCGCACACACACTCGCGTACACTAGCACATACACAGTTACACGTGTCAGACAGCGTGGTGGAACATTTGGTCAATCAGCATGTAGGTGATTTGATTTTTATGTCTTGGCCAAGTGGGCAGGGTTAAACCTTCTTTTCACAGTAGGGCTTTATTACGGGGTTATATTTGTCCAAATTTTAGGGCTCCAGGGCCATTGTGAGCACCAACAACATTTCAGAAGGTAAATAGGTGCTGAAAAACGTTTCCATTTGTAAATAAAAAACTAAAACATCAGTCTTGTGTCACTATAAAAGGTAAAAAAAACATAGTCTGATGTTTTTCAGATGATGAGGGTCCAGACCCACCAGAACAGTTTACTGCCGTCAAACTCTCAGACACACGGTGAGTACGCAAGCTGCACACTATAACTCCATCCTACACCATTGTATTTGTCATCTTTCATATCGTTATACTTTTTGATGTTAATAAAGATCTGTATTGGCTCGATCTATGCAAGGAATCAGATGTGCTGCCTGTGAACAATTAAATAATTTTTAAGGTGCAGTATGTAAGAATATCGTGAGAATTTTACAGTGAGAAAATCCCAAAAGAGTCTAATGTTTGTTGTTTTGGAAGGTTATACTAAAACATATTTCATATCCAGCTGGCTCTGGGGATTGTCAGGTTTCCTCCTTTCAAAACGAAGGAGGGACGTAACTGTTTACCAAATGTGAGTGTGGGGTTGCCGTGTCTCCTGCGAGTTAAATCTGCAGCGCCGACAACTGGAATTTAACGACAGCTGGCAAAAAGCTCCAGAGTTGTTTAAAGCGGCTGCGGTAACCATGTTTTTCCACATCATTTTTACTGCATTTCTACATAATGCACCTATTATAATAACGCATTTGTTTACTGATTATCTCAGGCAGTTGGTGTGCATTTTTAAAGACCAGTATGCTCATTTGTAGTTTTTTATTGTTGCAGGGTAGCATTAAAATCTGGATATGGAAAGTACCTGGGCATCAACTCTGAGGGTTTGGTGGTGGGGCGCGCCGATGCCATTGGTGCAAGAGAGCAATGGGAACCGGTCTTCCAGGATGTGAGGAAACTTTTTCCTTTAAATCTACGTGCTCCAGACGTTCATTAGTATTATGCAGGAGTTTTATTTCGTGTCTAATTATAAAACAATATCTAGCTATCATTGACACCAAGATTGGACATTTGTACACCATCCAATTAACTTCATTCTGTCACATCCTACTACTTAGACTTAGTTGCAATTTTAGTCTTACGGTTTCGTTATCTACTCCGACAGCCAGTGTAGAGTCAAATCTTTTGGAGCCCCTCTGGAGGCTGGATGCTGGTGTTAACTAGACTTATTGCTGCTGAAGACATCTTAATTAAAACAATAGCTTTGGCTCTAATTGCCTTCGTTATCAGAACATCTTCCAGCAAATGCTTGTATGACTCAGGTGTTTCAGTTGTGTGCAGCCATTTAGCCACTTCACTGTCCAAGCAGGTAAAATGGGTTGAATTTGTTTTGGAGGAAGAACGTAATCGTCGTTAAAATGTCAAATATATGGATTTGGTTTGTATTTGTGTTGAAGAATAAACTTTTAATGCTACATTGTTGACATACAGATACGTTTTAAATCTTTAGGTTTTAGCTTTAACAGAAAATGTTATTAATTTTATTGAGAAAATAATCTTGTAAAATGCTTTATACAATTATATCTTTCATGATTTCCTGCATGATGAATTGGGTTTAGACAGAGCAAAAGTTGTTTTTGATTATTTTCAAACCCCTGAATCTGTCAGATTTGTGTTTTTTACATCAAATATTACATAACTTTTTCATATCTGTCAAAAGATCGGTCCCACTGCAGTTTTGTCCAATCTGTTGTCCTTTGTTTGGTTTCTGTTGCACACCAGGGTAAAATGGCTCTCATGGGAGCGAATAGCTGTTTCATTTCCTACAGTGACGATGGAGACATCGTAGCCAGCAGCAAGACAGCTGGGGACGACCAGATGCTGAAGGTGACTGTAAATTGTGTTTTTCGGCTGTTACTCCTTTTGGTTTTAGGCATGCTGTCTCTGCAGGGACCTGACTAGTTAAAGAGAGCGAGGAAAACGTTTGCAACCTCAGTTAAGGAAGGTCAATGTGTTATTTAATACACAACTCCTCTCATTTTCCCTTTTCTCCTTCCCTTGAATTGTGAGCAGATCAGAACAAGCATGGAACGAGAGGTCAAGCATAAAGACGATCTCGCAGATGAAGACAGAGGCAATGTGAAGTCCTGCGAGGTTAATTATGTGTAAGTAACTCCCACTCCTTATAAACAGACTACTTGTCAAATAGAAAGAGAGCACAATAAAAATATACAAGGGAATTAATCCGCTTTATCTGTCAGACTTTAATCAGAAAACCAAATAATGAGCTGTTTAATGACTAAACGAAGTTTAAACCATGTGCAGCACAACATTCTTCCTATTGTGATATTATTTCTGGTAGTAGTTATACAGTTTTTGTTTTCATAAACATGTATGGGTGTTTTATGGCATGGTGTAACTTGTATTTCATGTGCTCTTTAGTTTTAAAGTGTGTTGTGAGACTTAATTGGTAACAAAACCATCTGTTCCTACACTCTTATGGAACAAATTGCCTCATGAAGACTAAAAACTTATCAAGGAGCGCTTCCTGGTCTCAACATAAGTTTGTTTGAGGTGTTGTTTGGATGAAACAGCTCTCAAATAGAAAAAGTAAAAAAGCCTTTATTGTAATGGCTAAGTCATATATGGCCTTTAACACGTTTCAGCAATGTAGCCTTCATCAGGGAGTCAAACCGCTCTCACCAGTAAGGAGAGGTTCTTACCAACTGAGGCCATATGTGACCTAGCCATTACAATAAAGGCTTTTAAACTTTTTCTTAGTGCCTTGGAGTTCCTCTTGCTTTTTGCCTCATGAAGACTGTTCGGTCCAGCGATAAAGCTGAGCCCTAGCTGACTGAAAAGACCATTTTAGCTAGGCCTGAATGCAGGAAAGCAGAGAGAGCGTGGCTAAAAGTCAGACACAGGAAACGGTGAAAGCTGATGGGGATAAAAAAATTCCATAATTAATATAAATCCTAATAATCATCACATCCTCTTCAGGACAATTCATTCAGTTTTGAACAGTTCTCTTATAGGCTTTGGCAGTATTACCTTAATAGCGTATACACCCAGTGTTAAAAATAGCATCATTGTCAGTTTCAATATTGTCGTCAAAAAAACAGTGCATGTAGGAGGCAAGGATTAAAAACATCTAATAAATAAAAGTCATGTATGTTACGTCCCCGACAGGAGATGGTAAAATGTGAAGGATGGGGATAACATAAGGACTGGACAGTGGATATTAAAAGGGTTTTATTGTTATAAAAAGGTTCTAAAACACAAGCAAACAGACAACAGGCATTATGAAAATAATGCAACACACTCAAACGTTCAAAAAGGTTAACATTAAACGACAAATTATCAACTATAAAAACACCTGGTTACAACTTTGTTAAAAGCTTAACTGCACGAAGGTGTTCTAAAAGTTGATAAAAGTCTCTAAAAATATTTACTGACAAACACCTGGTTAAAACTTATTATAAGTGTTACCAAACAAAGGTGTTTCAGATTTCAGATTTATTGGCCAAGTAAAATTACATTTACAAGGAATTTGTCTTCGGTAGATGTTCGCTCTCTAAAACAGACAACAACCACAATAAATGAGAATAAAAATACCTAAAAACACATAAGAACATGTACAGTATACCCACACACATGTTCATTTACACACACACATATATACATACCCACACACACACGCATGCATGCACGCACACACACACACACACACATATCCATAAGCATACTGAATAAGCATTAAAACCTATAATAAAAGGATGGTAAAAGAATACAGATTCAGGAGAGAAATGGCTGAAGGAAAGAAACTGTTCTTGTGTCTGGTAGTTTTTGTGTACAGTGATCTATAGCGTCTGCCAGATGGGAGGAGATGGAAGAGAGTAGATGCAGGATGTGTGGCATCTTGGACAATATTCACTGCCTTTTTCCTGGTCCTGCTGATGTACAGTTCCTGGACAGAGGGCAGTTGAGCACCAATGATTTTTCCTGCTGTTTTAATAATACGCTGTAGTCTGCATTTGTCCATTTTTGTGGCTGACCCAAACCAGACAGTGATGGATGAACAAAGTATGGATTCGACTGCAGCAGTGTAGAAGATGATCAGCAGCTCTTGTGGTAGGCCGTACTTCCTTAATTGCCGTAAGAAATACATCCTCTGCTGAGCCTTTTTGAGGATGGAGTTGATGTTTTTTTCCCACTACAGATCCCTGGAAATGATAGTTCCCAAGAACTTGAATTAGTCCACCATTGACACTGGGCTGTTGGATATTGTGAGGGGGGACAGCACCGTGGGAAGCTTCCTAAAATCCACGACCATCTCCACAGTCTTAAGGGTGTTAAGCTCAAGATTGTGCTGACTACACCAGACCACCAGCCTCTCAACTTCTCGCTGATAAGCAGACTCATCACCATCCTGGATGAGCCCAATGACAGTGGTGTCATCTGCAAATTTCAGGATTTTAACAGCTGAGTCATTAGAGGTGCAGTCATTGGTGTTGTAAGGTTATGAAGTTGAAAATGAAAAGAGCAGTGGAGAAAGGACGCACCCCTGTGGTGTACCGGTGCTGATCAACCTTGTGCCAGATGTAACATTGTTCAACCGCACATGCTGGCTCTTATTTGTCAGGAAGCTGGAAATCCACTGGTACATAGCAGGGGAAACAGTGAGCTGAGAAAGCTTTGAGGTGAGGATTTCTGGTATAACGGTGTTAAAAGCAGAGCTAAAATCCACAAACAATATCCTTGCGTAGGTCCTTGGTTAATCAAGATGTTCCAGGATGAAGTGCAGCCCCATGTTAATTGCATCATCCACTGACCTGTTTGCTCTATAGGCAAACTGCAGGGGATCCTGCTGGTGGCCTGTGGTGCTTTTAAGATGGGACAGCACCAAGCGCTCAAAGGACTTCATGACTACTGATGTCAAAGCCACGGGTCTGTAGTCATTCAATTCGGTAGGGGAGGATTTCTTAGGCACTGGGATGATAGTGGAGCTTTTGAAGCATGATGGAACCTCACACAGCTCCAGCGATCTGTTGAATATCGTTGTGAAGACAGGTGCTAGTTGGACAGCACAGGTCCTGAGGCAGGAAGGAGTTACTCCATCTGGGCCTGGTGCCTTCCGCACGTTCTGTCTCCTAAAGATGTTGCAGACATCCTCTTCCTTCACAAGGAACGCAGCTTGTGATTTAGAGGAAAGAGGAGTAAGAGTGTCCAGGTGAGGGGTGGCGGCTGCAGCTATGCTGGAGTGGAGGAGGGGTGTGACATTTCTTTCCTCAAAGCGACAGTAAAAGCCATTTAGCTCCTCAGCAAGACCATGATTAGCATCAGAAATGGAGGATGGTCTCCTGTAGTTGGTAATGTGCTGAATGTTTCTCCACAATAATGTGGGGTTGTTGGCTGTAAACTGGTTTTTCAGCTTTGCTACATACTTGATTTTAGCAGCTCTGATCTCCTTAGTCAAAGTGTTCCTGTGTGATTTGTATAGAGGCCTCCTTTGCCCGTCTCAACTGTTATTAAAGGTGCGAAAAGTCTTTGTTGGCACACACACTTCCTCACAGAAGGTGATGTAGGATGTCACAGTGTCCGTTAGCTCGTTCAGATCGCCTGTGGCATCTGCAAATACTCTCCAGTCTGTACAATCAAAACAGTCCTGTAACTCCTCTTTTGCTTTTTTGTCCATTTCCTCACTGTCCTGATGGCTGGCTTTACAGATTTTAGTTTTTGTTTATAAGTGGGGATAAGATGAATCAAATTATGGTCAGAGAGGCCGAGAGCTGCACGAGGGACAGAGTGGTATGCCCCTTTAAGAACTGTATAGCAATGATCCAGTATGTTTTTGCCTCAAGTCGGACATCTGATGTGCTGTCTGTATTTCGGTAGTTCGATATTAAGTTTAGCCTGATTGAATTCACCCAAAATAATGAGCACTGAGTCTGGGTATTTGTTCTCTGTGGAGGTAACTTGATCGGCGAGAGTCTGCAATGCAACACTCACATCTGCTTGAGGATGTATGTATACTCCAATCAAAATGAATGAAGATATTTCCCGCGGGGAGTAAAACAGCTTACAGTTCAAAAATATTGTCTCCAAGTTTGAGCTACAATGTTTGCTGAGAACTGTAGCGTCTGTACACCAACATTCATTAATGTAGAAGCAGATTCCACTTCCTTTCGTCTTCCCTGATAGCTCTTTTTTCTGGTCTGCACGATGTAAACAAAACCCAGGCAGGTATAATCCATTATCAGGAGTCAAGTCACTGAGCCACGTTTCAGTAAAGCAGAGGGCAGCGGAGTGTGCAAAGTCTCTATTAGTCCTGTTCCGAAGGAGCAGCTCGTCTATTTTATTAGGTAGGGATCGGACGTTCGCTAGGTGCATTGCTGGGAGAGGCATACGAAATCCCCGCTGGCGGAGTCTCACCAGCGATCCTGCTCGTTTACCCCTCCTGCGTTTCCTTCTCCAACAAACAGCAGTACCTCCGATCAAAACTTCCAGTAAACTCCCCGGGTCCTCAAGTTTTTGAAAATCCGTCTCTGTGGTTTGTTGCCTGATACACAGTAGTTCATCTCTACTGAAAGCAGGGTTCCCACGCGTCCTGGAAAACCTGGAAAACCTGGAAAATGATAGTCCAATTTTCCAGTCATGGAAAACACATGGAAAATGGGGGGAATTGCAAAATGTCCTGGAAATTTTTGAGTTTTCCTGGAAAATAATTTTCCATCCTTGTGGATAAACAAATGGATTAAACATTTTGGGCAATATTGGGCTGTAGCGCTTCTCCTTTAATTTCTGCATCTAGTTTGCACAGCGCCCCACATGACGCTTCCAACCAATCAGATTGCATAATCCCCTTCAGTTCCAGTTCCACTTCTGTTTTTCCAACTGTCTTTTTGGCTAGATTTACAGATTTTTCACCCCTAGATTTATTTCTCTAAAGAAGGGCCAAAAGTAGTGACTCGGTTCACGAGTATTGCGTTATCGCAGTTTATAGAGCGAGAGGTTTTTCTCCTTCTCTCTGTTGAGTAGGGCTGGGGGTAAACGATTATTTTTAAAACGATTATTCTGACGATTATTTTATCGAATAGTCGACTATTCTAATGACTATTTAGAAAATTAATCTAATGATTATTTTTCTATTGCACAATTAACAAAA